CAAGAGAAAAAGTGTATAAGATTTTAAAAACAGTAAGTTCATGCACATAAGAAAAGCTTCAGATTCAGCGAAAGCTAAATTTACAATAATTTTTTGTGGAGAATCTTTAAGTGGAAATAAAAAAATAAATTTCAATTAACTCTTTGGAAGATTTTAAACGCTGACCTTATATTTTGTGATCCTAGAGGCGAACTTAGAAAATTTTGTTGTTTTATTGATGACGATTCTGTTAATAAAATTTCGTAGCCTGCAAGTTATTTTTCTCATTCAAATTTCTAAAAAATATTATTCTAATTTTTACTTAATCTTTCTGGGTGTCCGTTGTATAATGTTTTTTAAATTTCTGCTAAAAGTTTACTGAAAAAATTTTTTACTGTATATCTCAAGTTAATATTTACATAAAAATAAGACCCTTTTTTTTCCCTTTTAGCTCTTCAAATGTTGGTAAACCTGTGCCAGTCCACCATGAATTTCTGTAAGTTTTATTACTTTTATCATCTGCAGAATCTTTGATGTGCATAAATAATTTATTATTTTGAGAAGTATTATTTTAATTATTATTATTTGAATTATGATTTTAAAGAAGGATTAGGGACATTTTAATGTATTAAGCGAATTCATTTATAAAATACAGTGAATTCTCATTATGCTTCAGTCTTTGGGACCAAGAGAAAAAGTCCATAAGATTTTAAAAACAGTAAGTTCATACAAATAAGAAAAGCTAGATAGAAAAGTTTCAATAGCTGAATAAAACTACAAATAGTCGTGAATAGCGGCTAAACCTTCTAATTGTTTTTAATGATTTCGAGTAATGTTTTTGTCATCTCTGTTTTCGCGTAAACTGAGTAATAGTAATCGCTATAGCTTTACATTCCTTGACCAAAAACTAACGTTTTAATTGGTGGTGGGAAAGACACTGCTAGATAAATTTTGAAAGCATATGGGTGGTATATATGGTGGTTTCAATGTGGGTGGTGTGATAGATAAGACACCTTATTCAAATTCATATAAAAAAATGTCTTCCTAGAAACAATAAAGGTGAAAAAAATCCCATAGGGAAGAAAAATGAACTGTATTACTAGATCCAGTAACTTATTTCCTTTTATCTGTAACGAAGATTGTTTATTTGCTTTAAACTGAAAACTTTTTCTAAAAAATGTGATTATTTTTTTCTATTTAAACAAAAAATAAAATCAAAATTTTAGTCTTTTAGAAAAAATTGTGTGCTGAATTGAAATATTTATTTTCTGAATGATGCATAAAGAATTATAATTATTATTATTTTCCTATATAATGATCAAGGGCCTTTGAAAACCTTTGTATATATGCAAAAGGCACAAAAAAGAGGTGGCGCAGAAGTGATAGGTCACTGTATGTAGTTTTATATTTTAATAATGGTTATTAATTTTCATTTTAATCGTTCACTTCCCTATTCAATTCAATGAAAAAAAGTGTTATATTTATAAATTTTATTGATGTATATAAAATATTTTTTTAAAAATTTTATTAAGTACAGTAAGATTTTGATTGTGAAAACACAATCATATTTAAAATCCTACCTTGTTAACATAGCTTAAAAACGTGTAGGTTAAAGAGAGAGAAAAAGTAACGACAAAGTACTGATTTGAAGCATCTTGAAACTAACCTGTACAATATTGAATGTTTTCTAAGACATTATTTGGTAGAACAATTTTTTATGATAAGAACAATTTTTTACTCCAAGCAAATAAAATGTGTAAGTAAATTTAATTTATGGTAACTTAGAAATAATGTTAATAACACCTACATTTCACTTATTTATCTATTTTTAAATAGTAGAAAGTATTTTTATTTGGCAAAAATATATACACCTACCTTTTTAAAAACAAAAAAGTTTTCTTGAAACAGAAGTTTAAAATGTAAACACATTAGGAATCTCTGAACTAACATTTAAGTGGGACAGAAGCAAAAAAGTTATAGAAATCTTACGATTTTCTTATGAGTTAAACGAGATGAAAAACATCAGAACCAGTTGCATATTGAAATGTTGCATATTCAAATGTTGAAGTTTTTAAAGATTTTTTTTTAACTTTCCGCCCTATAAACGGGTTGTGGTTGTGTGACGTGGGCGACGCTGCTTCACCACAGGTGCCCACTGGGTAACGAGAAGAGAGTAGTAGTTCTGGCATTCCTGTGGTCAATGGGACAACCCTCCAATGCCCGCAATTTAAAAAAAAGAAAAAAGTCTATAATGAGGAAACGTCCATTGTAACGCTCCTGTCCTTTGGCAGTCAAACAGGTTTAAATGTTTTCAAGTTTTGTTTCTTTTTATTTGTGGCCCATAATGTGTGTATCCTATTACAAAGTTTATTTGCTAGAATTCGAAAAGTATATGTTGAAAGTGGTTAATGTGCAACTCCTGCTATTCTAATTTACAGAAATGACAACTAATTTTTCTGTATCAAATGAAAATGCAGTGTACATCCTCGAGAAGGGCCAACCGTCCTCACTGCCCTTTGACGACACTGTCTGATAATATTCCTTTTAAAAAAATTAATGTGTAAATGATAATTACGCACTTTTAAAATTATTCGTGTTAATAAGTTTGATTCAGATACCATTACAAATATTTACTTTGTTAATTCTCAACTGGTTAAATTTTTAAAAGATTTTTTTAGTATCAATAAGTTTATTAAAAGATTTTTTAAAAAAATTTGAAATGAATATTTTTTTTAAAAATATGTACCTTTCAATATTTATTTTTAATTAATCGTTTATTAGTTAATAGTTTAAATTATGGAAAAAGCCTTCAAGTTTAACAATATTTTTTTCTATTGCACAATGTTTTCTATTGCACAATGATTTTCTATTAGCATGTTTTTTTTCTTTGTAAGCTACAAATTTTTCTCATTTTGATAATGGGTGAGAACTACTTTTTGAAATATACATGTAAAATAGTAGGTATAGGATGGTAATTTTACAGTTGTTAAGAATCGAATTCAGCTGTTACATAATAGTACACATTTTGTTAACTATTTACGGTGTTAATTAAAAGCCCTTTAAAAACTCGGTGTACCCTTTTTTTTTAAGGAAGCACCTTTCCCTTTTTTATTCCTAGGCATAGTAATGGAGTATTTAACAAATATTTTTTGTTAAAAGAAGGAACTAAATTAATAAAAAAATTTGAAGAAAAGAAATTTCATCAGAGATGTAAACAATGTTATTAATATTTATGTAAACTTTTCATTTTTTGTCTTACATCTATACCAGTTATATAAAGACATTACGGAAATCGTGACATTGGTCAAATCTGTCGTTATTCTTATCTAGTTCTTGTGTTTTTTATATGAGGAAAACATTAATTTCACAAAGCATCACCATTAAAGTAATTTAAGAATTTATTGATTTATAAAGTTATTACAGAATTGTAAAATTATCTGCCTTTTTAACTAGCAAATTTTGAGCAACCTTTTTTCATATGGTTTCAATTCTGGTTTCAATTCAATACATATTATTGTTTTGATGCCTATTTTAATATGAAAAATGTTGTAAATTTTGAAATTTTTTTTGTCAAGGGTATACAATTAAAAATTTAATCATAAAAGTAAAGCGAAAAAGAAATACTATTGATACATTCGTGCATGTAAGTAATATATATTTAAAAGTAATTTTTCTTCTATACCTTTCCTTGAAACAATAATTTACATTAGAATATCATAATTGTTTTAAATATTAAATGCAATAAAATTGAGCACCATAAAATTAATGAAGAAAAAACTGCATGTTTTTTAAAATTAAATATTTTCTGAGAAAAGGTGAGCACAAAATTAAACACCCTGAATAACTTTTCATTTAACAGTTAGATTTTCATGTACTAGTTGTCAATCTTAATGGGTTCGTGAGTCAATATTCAATAATTTCATTCAGAAAGGAATTTTATGTTCAAAATCTTTCTAAATTATAAGACAGGTGTATGTTTGCATGGTGTTACTAGATTGAAGACTAATTTGATGAGTCAAAATTTATCGATAAAATGATAAAAGCAAAAACTTTTCGATAAAAATTTTAGTTTTAAAAGCTCATTTTCACAAAAATACTTATGTTTTTAAAATATATGATTTGCATAATTTTTATTTTATTATCCTCTCTTTCAGGATTTCGAAAAATGTCAAGCATTTTTTGTTGCAGTTTTATTGCAGTTTTTCAGAACTCTTCTGTGCTATTCCAAGTGATTCTATGTAGACAAAGATATGATTTCTCTGTTGTTTTTATTATTTTTAAAATTAAATTGAAATTTGTGTAATATTTGTATTGATTAAGGTTATGTCTTTGTATTTATATGTCTTTGTATAATAAAGTGTTTGCAAGAGACAATGTTGATTATGCATTTAACTAATTTCAGGGTACATTCAATTCATTACATGACTGACTACATTGGTACATTTTTGTCCAATACACCTATTTTTTGTTTAAATTTGCTGCAAGACTAAATATAATTAGTAAAACATGAATTCATGATCAATATCGCACTAAATGATCATCTCTGGACAGCCTCTTAGTATTATCGGCTGTAGGTTGTATTTATTTAGGGTGCAATAGTATCACTAGATTCCTTAAGAACACAGCTTTTATTTTAAGACATATATATACTGACTACAAGTTATTATAGACATATATATTGACTTCAAGTTAAAACTTGAAAAATTACTTGTAAGATACAGAATTTTCATAATTCTGGACAGCAGTTTTATTATTCTGCTTTTAAGTAGAATATCACTGTAAAGAAAAAATTATTACGTATGTTTACCTAGTTTAAAAATGTATTGATAAGTGGAAACATAGATTGTGCACAGCATCTTTAGGACTAAGGGGTTGAACTGTGTAAAAAATATTTGCATAAAACAATTTAAATGAAAAAAATAACCTAGAAATATTTTCTTAGTTCATATATTAATAATTTATTCAGAAATGTATTAGATAGCTAGATATTTATTTAGCTAATTGAATTGAATAAAAATTAGATTTGTGGGTTTTAATTACTCCTGTAACTAGGTCAATGACCTCTCGTAAACCTCTGTAAACTAAAGGGATGCTGCTGGGTGTATATAAATTGCTGGCCCTCAATTATTGATTCATTGATTACCCTCTACTGGAAAATGTCGGGCAATCACTCACCCAGCGCGTTTTAGACAGTAATTGCTCGGTTAAGTACTACCGGCCATCGATAGGCCGGTATTGTTGGCTCGACAAGAGGCCAGCCATTCACTTTAGTACAGTTGAAAGTGACTTTTGCCGACACAGACCCGTCGCTTTAGCTGGTGGCAAACAGCAGTTTTGTGGAGCTGGACCTACAGATTTGTTTTTGCTGGGACGTGTTATTTTTGACTATTTTAAACTGTTATACGTGTTAGCAGAAACTGTGTTATTTTTTAATGCAAAATTCCCCTCTTAACGGAATACCATTGGTTCTAGCGATCTCATTTCAAATAAGCGGGCTGTTCAATTAAGAGGGAAGGGCATTAGGCAATATTAAATGTTATGTTTTTAATATATTTTAACCTAATATGTAAATTTGTCTATCTGTGTTTTAAAACTTTTTAGTGTCCCTTAAACAGATGGTCCATTTTCAAGCGGTAAATACATTAATGCTTCTATTCAAGGGGACCAACAGAATTGTCTTTTAAATAGAGGATGTCCTTTCTATATCCATGTTTCATTGGTTTCTTTTTTCTAAAAATGTTAAAGTGCATTTTTTGTATGAGATTTTGTTCCTATTTACATTTTGAAAAATATTTTTTTAAATTTTGAGTAATATTAAAGAATTAACAGGTAACAGAGATAAGGTCTGTATAAAATAAGTTTGTTCTCATTAAATGTTGTGTTCTTGACTTAAAATCTCATCAAAAATAATTACTTTTGTATTAGGATACACAAAGTATTTGAAAGATAATAAAATTTTTAATTTTATCAAATTTCTTGCTTAAGAAGATTTTTTGTTTAATTGATAATCTTGCTGGCCTTTACTTTATTATAATTTAATATTTCCTTTAAGGTTTGTGTTTTAATAATTTGCATAAAATTTTTTTATACCCTAAATTTATTCTTATTTATAATTTATAATTTTTTTAGGATTAAACATCATGGACTTAAAATTTCTAGATATTCTTCAAAAATAGCCAGATATACTATGCTTAAACATAAAAAAGATGAACCAAATCCTGATAGGTAAGTTTTGAAATACTTGGTTAGAACTGCGTTATTATAAAGGAATATACTAAAATTTTTGTGTTTAAATGTGCTTATGATATTTGAATATTGATTTTCAAATTTTATAAACTTTTTTTTAATAAAAATTATAGTAAGTAAAATAGTTTTTGTTTATTTGAAAGACATCATAATGATACTAGTCTAGAAGATACATTTGATTACATTTTAGCATGCGTGCACAAAATACTATTTCAATTGAGGATATAGTATTTTTCTCATGAAAAAGTACTATTTTTAGTTAGGTCAGATTGATTACTAGTGAGTATAATACAATTACTAACTATATTTGATTCTTTTACTGTTGACGCCAAACTGAGGTATGTTTTTTTTTTTTTTTGCTGCATCACAAACTAATATTCAATGGGAAAATAATGCTCATTGAGGAATACATTGCATAAATTTTCTTAATTAAGAACCGTAGCAGTTTAGGGCTAGTTGTTTTGAACAAGTAAAATCAGGTATTAAAATGTCATAAATCATTAAAGTAAATACTAAGAGTTACTTTTTAAGAGACCTAAAATATTTTTTTAAAGAAATAAAACAGCTACAAAATATTTTAAGACATGATTTTCTAATATATTGACTGAATTGCATAATTTTGGAGGAACAAAAGATTTTTTTTCTTCATAAAAAATATATGGATGCAAGAACTTTAGTGTAAAGTGATTTGAATCTTAAAATATATGCTTACAAACTAGTATCACCATGCTGTTTTAGTATTTTATTGTTTCTTATTTAAATAAATATTATTTAGTTTTATGTTTATATGTACTGTAAAACAATGCATTCCTCCAGAAAATCTTTTTAATATGCTCATCTTATAAAAAATAGCTTCATCAATATTTATTTTCACACACTACACTACAATAAGGATAGTGTAAGGAAATACAAATATATAAAAGATAAACTATTTTTGTCTTTTATAAGAAATGACGGACCATGTGTCTTTTTAATTATTTATTTACAGACACAAACATGAAATAATAAAGATAGATATGGGGGGTAAATTTCTGCTGAGAGAATCGTAACTGCTCTCTTCAACAGATAAACTTCTAACGATATCACATGACTATGCATTTCGCAAGTTGGTTCGGCGTGTGCATTGAGCTCAAACATGCCGCCCTGCGTTGCAATGTACATATACATTCAAAATTATTAAATTGATATGAAGCATTATTGCAAATTTTAACAAAATTTTACAGTGTACAATTCTTAGAGGCACATTTCAAAGTTCTTACAAAAATTAAAATTGAAGCAGTGACATACAGCAATTAATTAAAATACAACTTGAAAACAACTAAAAGTTACACATCGATATATTATGATTTTAAGTTTCCAATGAAGGTACAGACAATTTGAAAATTGAATTTGCCCTTTTCAATATTCCCGATTTAGTTTTACATCTACAACACGAACAATGTTGTCCTTTCCTGGGTACATTTGAATCATTCTGCCTAACATCCATTTGTTAATTGGCAAATTGTCTTCCCTTATTAACACCATATCCCCGATTTTGATATGTTCCTTTTGGAACATCCATTTAGTCCGTTGTTGCAAGTTGTTAAGATGACTTAAGCTCCATTTTTTCTGAATTGTCTGCACTAATTTGGTTGTCCTTTGCCATAAGCTCAATCAATTATTGGATGTTAAAAAGGGCTCAGGAAAGGCAGTAAAAGACCTACCAATAATGAACTGAGCAAGAGTTAATACCTAGATCTGAAGTAAGGGGTGTCAGAGGCTGAGAATTTAGCATAGACTATTTGATTAAAAACCTATCGGGAATTCCTCATAACTTCGGGTTGAAGGACATGCAACACGCCTTAAATAATACTTGAACAATTTCACCCCTGCCTCTCAGATACCCCCAAATCATGGAGCCCTGGGAGGAGGTTTTCTTCCGACAAAAATCCCATAATACTTTCATTTTGATTACGAGCTAACTTAAATAGTCGTCTTAACTCCCGACTTGCTCCAACAACAATTGTTCTGTTATCAGAAAAAAGTTTGGAGCATCGTCCTCTTCGCGCGATGAAACGCTTCAAAGTAATCATACATTCAGAAGTGAAGTCAGAAACTATTTCCAGATGAATTGCTTTTGTCACCAGACAGATAAATATGCGTACATAAATTTTGATTAGGCACCCTTTTCTTCCCTTGATTTTGATAAAAGTGGACCACAAAGGTCAAGTCTCACTGAATTGAATATAAAGTCAGGATTTATTCTGCATTTGGGCAAATCGCCCATTTTCTGGTAACACTCTTGGATTTGCTTTCATACAAATGCAATTATGTACTATCTTTCTGCAAAAATTTCGGCCTTTGAGGGGCCAATATTTTTGCCTAACTTGGTAAAGTAAATTTTGAGGGTCAGAATGGAGGTATTTTTTATAATATGAAATGATCAGAGAAGTTAATTTACATTTAGAAGCTAATAGAATGGGATGTTTACTTCCATAAGAAATTGAAGAACTTTCTTTGACCACCAATTTGATTTGGGGCATTTTCATCTGAAAATGGAGACAAATTTTTAATCTTACTTAAGGGAGGGACCATCAACTCCCTTTTTAAATACCTAATTGCCCTCTTCAAAGTTCGAGGATTGGCCAGCCTTTATCAGATATAGTTCTACTTCCTTTATTTCTGTCAATAAAAGGCAACTTTGATGCCTGACAGCTGAACTGAGTCTACAATTTTTTGAAAACCTGAAATAAAAGCTAAAATACGGAGAATATTATTATGATTGTTAGAACGTTGAAGTAAACTGTTTATGAGTTCCGAATTGCTGTGAAGAAAAAGAATTCTAGGTTAATCTATATTAAAGAATGGTCTGTGTAGCCCTGTCAGGCTATCTTAGGACCATTCCCACAGCTGCTTGAAACTCCGACAGGCATAAAGCGTCTTATGTACCTTGGCCTATTGAAAGAGTATTCCAAACACATGTCATGGGGTTATCTTGTTTCACAAGTGATGGATATACCCTCTTTTATTATGCCTAGTGACTTTATGTCACTAGGATATGCTTTTCACACGCCTTATCCATTTTCCTACTAGAGATGAATGGTTTAATTCTCCTCGGTGGCTTAAGGGCAAATGTCTGATATGGTTCACTGATGGTTCAAAGATTGGTCTGAAATCAGGAGCAGAAATTTTTTGCTCCAATGATGGTACCAAACTTCACTTTCCCTTGGGAAGCTATGCCACTGTTTTTCAGGCTGAGGTCTATGCCATTATCTTGTGCTGCAAGATATGCTTATACAGGGGATATCAAAATATGACTATCCACATCTGTTCCGACAGTCAGGCTGTTCTCCTATCACTGTCAAAGTGTAAATTCACCTCTTTGCTAGTATGGGAATGCTTTTCGGTCCTCTGTGACCTATCTACTCATAACAGGGTATACCTGCATTGGGTACCTGGGCATATGGGTATTCTTGGAAATAAGCTAGCTGATGAAGTAGCACAGACTGGCTCTAGTGCAAATTTCTGGGGCCCTGAACCTGCATTGGGAATTTCCCAACTCTTTTAGGACATTTATATTCCAGCTCTATGGCAAAATTGCTCATGAGCAATGGCTCGCCGCTGACAGTCAGAGACAAGCTAGGGAGCTGAATCATGACTGTCCTAGTGTACGTCAAAAATAGCTTTTAAAGCTTAATAGAAACAGTTTGAGGAAGATCATTGGTCTTTTTACTGGACACTGCATCCTCAGGAGACACCTATACATAATGGGAATTGAATCCAATTCTCTTTGTCGAGGTTGTCATCTTGAAGAAGAGACATCGACATATGCTTTGTGATTGTGAGGTCTATTCTGCTCAGAGAGTTGAGCATTTTGGGCAGCATTGCATTAAAACCTGGGAATTGCAGGATGTTCCTGTGAGGTGTTTGCTGAATTTTATTTCAGCAATAGGGCTTTCATGCTAATCATGATTTAAGGTTTGGATACTGACTATTAAAACATTCTGTATAGATTTTGGTAATCACAAATACATTTGTATTGTTTTGTTTTAAATTATTCATCTTACTTATTCATATTAAAATTTATTACTGTTGAGGAATTTTTAAATTAAAAACAATTAACAATGGAAAAAATTGACAAATTAAAAAGGAAATGTACCACAATTCGAACAAGTATTTCAAAAGCAATAACTCGATTAGACACGTTTATGCAAAAGAAAGGTAAACAAACTTATGAAACAAATGAAGCGGAACTAAACCAGTTGCAGGAAATTTTAATTAGTAAAGAATTAGACATTAAAAACTTAAATTCAGAAATTGAAGAGCTTATAACAAATGCAATGCAATACGAACCAGAAATCGCAACAAGCGAAGAGTACAATGACAAATTACTGTATGCAAAAACCACATAAAAGCTTGTTTCAAAACTCTAAATCAATCAAATTTTGAAAATACATTAATGCAAAACCCGCAAAATTTAAAAGATAAAACTGCAAGTAAACATAGCATAACTCTTCCTAAAATACCCATGCCAAAATTCTCAGGAAGATACGATGAGTGGAGATTATTTGAAATACAATTTGACAACATTATTACTTCAAATGAGCAGTTAACTGATTTTTACAAAAGTTGTATTACTTAAATTCTTCTCTAATTGGAGAGGCAAAAAACCTTCAAAGGCTTGACGATACATTTCAGTCATTATTCAAAGCGTTGGAGGAGCGATACAAAAATAAACGTATCAAAAAATAGTATCAAAAAATAAATTATGTTATAATTGTTTATCGAAATCGCACTCTGTGGGAAACTGCAAATCGAAAAATTCTTGTTCGAGTTGTGGTCGCAGACATAACACATTAATTCATAGGCCTTAAGGGGAAAATGTAAATGATCCGTCGCTTCAGCAATCTCTTATTTCAAATGTTGATAATTCTAGGGCTTTGGAAAATACATTTCCGAATATTAATGCTGCCGAATTTAATGCTCAAATTTTATCACTA